TATATATATATATATATATATGTATATGTATATGTATATATATGTGTGTATATGTATATATATGTGTATATATGTATATATATGTGTATATATGTATATATATGTGTATGTGTATATATGTATATGTATATATATGTATGTATGTATATGTATATATATGTGTATATATGTATATATGTATATGTATATGTATATATATTCACATTCACGCAGGAATTTTTCATAAATGAGGATACATGCTGTCATTGTTGTATATGCGGTGGCTGTCAAGCTTGAGGACAAATGATTTAAAAGCATAAAATCAGCCTTTAGATGAGTACTGCAGTGCGTGACCTGTGTACAGTCATCGGTGGAGATGAGAAAGAATTAGTGCTAGAACTATTGTGACCACAGGGTTGATATGGAAACCACAGATGCATGATGTCAGAGGTTATAGAAATGGTTGCTTTTGTTTCTTGAAAATGTTTAAAGCCAAGTTTTTGTTGTTTTTCTGATGCTGAAAGATCAGGAAATAATTAATTTATATTCTGTATGGAAACGGATCACAAACAGTCAGGTAGAACCACATGGAACCAAGGTTCTGTACTGAGGACTATTGAGCAACTCACTTGTCTGACATTTCATGGAAGAAACTTGTGGGCGTACTGTGGAGAGAGAACATCAGCAGTTTGTTCCCACATCAGCCATATGTACGTATGTCAGTGACTAATGTCGGGATTGCTCAATGAAAGCATCATCAGCTGAAAACATGCACTCAAAGATTTTTTTTTTAGGAAGAACCATGCATGCATTTTACAAAACATGAGAGGCATTAATTACAGTGACTTAATGAAAAATCTTCTAATTGCAGTGTGTGAACTTTTATTATCTCTGCCAGGAGGCGTGTGAGTGTGTGTGTGTGTGTGTGTGCGCATCTTTGTCTGTCCATGGTTAATCTTGCATACTGCTGCACCAAACTGCATACTATTTTAGATGCTCATTTATGGCTGCATTGTCAAGGACCTTTCGTGGTGGCAGTGTGACTCACATTTTCTGAAAACACCGCTTATTGCCTATTCGATACCACCGTTGACGGACTGCTGACTCACTACTCTAAACCGGCCCCCGGCCAGTAGGGGCCACAAGGAAGACGCAGAGGGGGAAAATGATTTGCTCAGTTTTACTGTTTTGGACGGTGTGTTTGGCGCTCAGCTAATAAAACAGCAATAGACACATCTGGGTTGTATCCATTCAATCAAACATTACAGCGGTGGTTGTTGCAGACACACCACTGAGTGCATCTTTCTAAAGACCGAACTCATTCAATCTCTGTTCCATAAGATTTACACACAACACAAAATGACAATCCTTACTACCATTCATATTTTTAGGGGAAGTAGAACAATCTTAAAGTAATAGTATAAAAGGGTGAAGGAGGGAAATTGTTTGTTTTTAACTGGAGAGCCAATTGACTTTGCAAAACAGTGTAATCAAAAGAAAAGGTCAAAGTTAGGCACATCAGCTCTGTTTCATTTTATACAGCACTGTATAAGAAACAAATTATAAAGATACTTGCTCTGTTTTACAACAGTTCCTGTAATAACACACACAATACTAGAGGGATATGCTTGAGCTTTGGATGTAACAATGTGTTTGGACTGTGAAGAAATGCATTTGTTGGCACAGACAAGACATCTGTCTAGGACAAAGGAATCAAATATCACTTCTGTATTGTGATTCTTCCAGTACATTGTCGCCCGGTGTGCCGCAGAGTAGTAACATGCTCATTCCCTGTTTACTCTAGAACTCTGCAGGAATACTGAAAAAAAATCGAATTAAAGATCAAAATATATTAAAGGTATTTTAGTGCTTATTTCATCCTGACAGGGGAGTTTCTTCTCAGTGTCTCTGCTCTAAAGAGAAGTCGGAGTGCAGCACAGCTCCGGTTTCTCAAAGGATGCTTGAGCTGATGTCCTCTGTTGAAGGATGGCCTCTTTATTTTTGCCGTGCCGCCCTGCTGAACCCTGGGTGTCACTGTCATGCATTCAGCTTAGAAACAAAAAGCTCTCTGTGCGTGTATGATATAATGCAGAATGGACCAAGGATACTTGTAAATGTAATGCCATTATGAATTGCTCTATACACGCTATTAAACCTCCAGAATAATCGTTTTGAAACCAACAGCACACGTATTGCAGTAAATTCTCCTTAAATAACTCGACCAAATCTAAATGACTCTTCACTGTATTTTGAGAAGTAGGTCGTAAAACACCCCGTAGTTCTTTTATCAAAGTTTTAAGCGTCTTTTGAAATATGAAGCATGAATTGCATTTCCTCGCTAAGCTTAGCAGTGCATTTCCCACAGAAAGACTATACATGGTTATTGTGCGTTTTGATTATTTATAACCTCAGCCTTTATCAGGAAATCTAATCCGCAGGACACCAGCAGGTCTGTGCGTCCTCTGCAGTGAGAGGGATTTTGCTGAAATGCATCTAAATAGGTCAGGTGGGCATGCAGTACGCAATTAAATGTTTCCTAATTTACCAGAGAGCTGCACGTGGCTCCGGATTTACACACGTAGGCTTGTTTCCAGAGCATGGGAAATTTGCACGTTCATCATAATCAAGAGAACACGAAAGAAACACAAAATAAATGTTGTTAATGTTTTTCTCCACTGAACATTAAACTGCTTTGTTAGCTTCCCAAACAATTATTTTTAGAACAAGGTAATAATACACCTCATAGAGGAGTAAACTTGTAATTTCCCTTCTAATTTCAACAAAGTAAACTGTAGAACAACAGTTGTCAAAGTCACATAAACTGTTAAATGTTTCTAGTTGATTCGACCTCTGCTCAGGTTGTTGCAGTGGTGGGCCGTCAGGGCCAGCTCAGCCTTCTCTGCTGGCCTAAACAGAATCACAAAGTTATAGCTATTTTATCATTTAATAATTTTTCACAAATGCACTACATGTATTACAATTTGTTTTCCCATTAGCTTATTTTCTCATTGCACAGCTCCTGTCTTCCTCGGTTGCTCTGCTTCCGGCACAGCTTGTTTTAAGGAGAGCTTTTATCCAATCAGATTCAGCCCCGATGTCTATGTAAGGAGAGAGGCCTGAGGCCCTCTAGGTAGACTTTGCAGTTTAAGTGAATGGGGACGATATTGTTTGTCATAGTCTTCAACCAATCGGATCTTTAGTTTGACATGTTCATGGCTTATTCTTTGACGTGCTGATGCTACCCAGGTAGCCTGCTAAGTACGTCAGCATTAACGTGCGCTGTGATTGGTCACCGCCGGCCGGCATTTGCGGTAAAAAAACTAGACATGAAAGCGTTTTTTTATGTGACTGGTTCTTGTCATTGTGTTAATTGATTCTGACTTGTCCGTTAATGACTAAGCATCCCATCATCGCGGGGTTATTTCGGACATTTGATTCTCTGTTTGAATCAGTAGGGAACAGCTAACTGCTATTTCCCCGCTGAGTTAGCTTAGCCTCCCTGAACACACGCGGGCCTCAGCTGTTTTTTGTTATTGTTCCGGGTTCAAAAGGTCACACATCCCGTTGTCTGTTACATGAGCGCAGTCCACCGAAAACATATTTCCCACAATTTAAGCTTCTGCATTTTCCAAATGCACTAGTATTAATCAAACGTATTGTTCGGTTCATAAGCCTCGTACCAAACTGTTTAATACGAATATGTGTATTATTACACCAATAGAAACAAATAACCGTAGCTCAGTAGGACAGCACAGAAGGCCCAGGTATAAAATGCACAGCCCGCCACTGGGTTGTTATAGTGCTGTAAATCATGTGAGATCACCGGACTCCATCCACTAATATGGATGATAAAAGTGTCCAAATTTCCATCTCTGATTGCGACTCCTCATCCCACTAAACCTAATCAGTTTATTATTTTCTATGTGGGAGTGTCAGATGAAATCAGGACTCGAGGGTAATGTTTGAGCACATCGCTGTCCTCCTCACCCATTCGAACATCTTTCAAATTGAGGAACTTTGCCATCTGCGGTTCTTCATCTCGCTGCGGATGCATCTGCCTCGATAATCATCACTCTGTGAAGCAGGGCAACGTAGAGCGCTGACTCAGTCATTAACGGTGGCAGCGAGGTTCTGAGGCCTGGATTTACAACAGCTGTTGCATTTCGTGTTGTGTTATTAGAAACAGCTGCAGCAAAAGCTGGGGCTGAAATATCAAATTGAAATCGGTGTGTTCATTGCCTGAGAAAATGCTTCATGGTTCAATGAATGAATGCTGAGGCCGTTACATGCCTTCCCCCTCTGACTGCCTTGCACTGTTACATCTGGCCAACACCATCAGATCAGAGGAAATGGAATCATTAGGCCCATCAGTTAAAACTAAGAGGGAAGTATAATTTGAATGTGTTCATTAAGATGCTTCTCTTTTCCACGAACCAGAAGAACCTGTAAAATAAAGTGTTCATAGAATTTACTTACCAACAACAGTATGTCTTTTTAATAACACAATCATGTCTATGTATTATGGTTAAATAGGGGGTTTAATATCATTTATTTAATGCAAAGATCTTTCTCAGCCACAAAACAAATGTCATATAATTTGTCCTTTTTAAGATGTCAAAATGCAGTACTGAAAGTATTCATGGGATGGATGTGTTGCGAAACACCTGGTCAGCTGATTGCAGATGGGTTGCGTGGCGTTTCTAACATGTCTAGAGGAAACGACACAGCTCTGTTGACACAAACCTCTGGACACCATCAAGTCAGCAGCAGTGGAAGGTCTGTGCTTCAGGTACGACGGTGTTGTTATAAAATGATTTTGATTCAAAAACATATTCATCTAATGAGCTCTGTTGGAAAATGATGCTAAATGTGATGAAATGCTGGTCGTTTTAAATATTATATTATATTATATACTTTTTAATTTTTCACAGAAATCTCTTAAGGAAGCAATGGAAGGAATGGATTTGCCAGAAGGTTATGATTATCATCAGGACTATAACTACAGTTATGAAACTTCCATTCCACGCGAGGAGCCAGTTTTCCAGCACAAATCGATGTGCATGAAGGAAGTTTTGTGTGTGTTTTTGCTCGTGGTCAGTGTGGTCATCTTTCTGCTGGGCTTCTGTGGAAACGGTCTGGTCATGTGGATTTCTGGCTTCAAGATGAAGAAGACTGTCAACACCACCTGGTACATGAGCCTCGCCATCTCCGACTTCGTCTTCTGCGCCTTCCTCCCGTTCAGCATCGCCAACATGGCGATGGAGAAGTGGATCTTCGGCCGCTTCATGTGCAAATTCGCCTCCTCCGTCATGTTCCTCAACATGTTCAGCAGCATCTTCCTCCTGGTCGTCATCAGCATCGACCGCTGCGTGTCGGTCATGTTTCCAGTTTGGGCTCAGAACCATCGCACTGTCAAAAAGGCGTCCGTCATTGTTTTCATTTGCTGGCTTCTCGCCATCGGGATGAGCTTTCCCTCTGTCATCTTCCGGGAGGTTAGCACCCACATGGGCAGAACCATTTGTTACAACAATTATACATCGTACCAGCACGGTCACAAGGTGGTTGCAGTGAGCCGCTTCCTCGCAGGGTTTGTCGTCCCTTTCGTTGTCATCATCGTCTGCTACTCGATCATCATCCTCAAACTGCGAAGCAACAGGATGATGAAATCCTCTAAACCCTTCAAAGTCATGTCTGCACTCGTCGCTGCTTTCTTCATCTGCTGGCTGCCCTACCACGTGTCCGTCCTGCTCGAGCTCGACCATCAAAGGTACAACCACAACATTTTGGTCACCGGACTCAAAGTAGGCACTCTGATGGCCGCAGCGAACAGCTTCCTCAACCCGGTGTTGTATGTTTTCATGGGCAACGACTTCAAGCAGAAGTTCAAGATCTCCGTGCTCTCAAAGATGGAGAACGCCATGGCAGAGGAAGGCCGCACCACCAGCCGATACCTGTCCAGGTCCAGCTCCATGGATGGCAGAGCTTCCACACACATCTAGAACCCAAACTGTTTCACTCAGGGCAGCCACGTGACATTGAAAATACTGTTTTTCTGAAATGCAATTAACTAACACAAGATGTCAAATATGTATAGATTCACAGTAATAAGCATTTTCATTGCACTGTTCTACTGTCGGCCAGCATGGCACAACACATTATGTAGTGGATGAATCTGAGAGCTTGAGCCAATATCTAAACATGTACTTTACTCACTGTGCACTGCTCGGTGATATCGGTCACATGCAGCAGAAGGAATGTTTTCAGAGCAGTTTGAACTGCAACACGTCGAGGAATTTATTGTTGTCAAATACAGAATGTAAAATACGAAGGATACTTTCTGATAATACATGTATCATTATATTAAGCATTGTCTGAAATTATATTATGCCAAAGGAACATTCAGTGGGCTCCTTTCACAACCAATTAGCGTGTATTGTTTGATCACAAATGGTGGCAGTAGATTACTAATTGCAGATAACATTTGTGAGTCTTTCAGAGCTCGTGCATCGATTTTAATTTTTTTATGGCATTTACTTTGATTAGTGAGACAAGAGAAAATGTGTACAAAAGGAAATAATCTCTTTTTTGCAAATTTGGTGGAAGGGGCTTCAGTGTTTTTGCAGGAAATAGTTGCTCATCAGTTTGTAGATTTGACCTGAACTCAAATATGAAGCACCAGGCCACACAATTGGACACAAACAGAAGATCAGGAAGAAACACTCGCTGAAGGAACAAAGCCAAAGAATTGATTTCTAGTTTCTATTTCTTTTTCTGGCAGATAAAACCTCAGCTGTCCAAAAAGGGATGTTTCAGGGTTTTATTTACGACACCATAGTACGCAATATTTTTGTGTTGCAGCATTACTGTATGTTGTGTCAGACTGACCCAGATACAGTGCAGAAATGGGTGGAGGACTGCTGTTGAGATATGTGCAGTGTAGTTCGTTCTCATGAATCATAGAAATACCGCACACCAAGAATGTATTACCAGGTGACAAAAACAGCGTGTTGGATGGCCTTTAATCTTTATTTCATTTATGACAGCTGTTCAGTGAATGTGATTTGTGCAATACATTTTTTTTTTTTTAATAAAGCTGTAACTATAAAAATCAGCTCTTTGATGTTTTAATTTCTCATTATTGAAGCAAAACGTATTCATTTATAATTCATCCACAGTCATGATGGTATGATCATGATCAGATGACTTTGGAAAACTATGGCACAGAGAGCTTTAATTTGAGAGTCAAGTTGAATTAAGTTTGATTTATTTGAAGTCAAAAAGTGCCAACAAGCATCAGCATTTCACTGGTGCCTCACTTGCAGTAACAAATGCAGACATCACCCCTCTCATTACGAGTAGTGGGACCGCTGCATTTTTGCCAAGACCCTTTGAAGCCTGAAAGAGCAATAAGAGTTCCTCTTGTTAGACATAAAAAAGTAAAGTGGTTCAACATCTCGAGGGTCAAAGTGATTCTTCCCCTGAAGGGTTAAAATGCACAAAAAGAAAAGATTCACGTGCTGTAAACGGTGAGCCTTTTGAACAGAAATAATCTCACTTCCTACAATATAAAATGAATAAGAACCACAAGAATTTTCTTCATGTTGAAACAGCAGAAAGCAGGAGGAAGACCCAGAATGCAGAGATTACTTGAGTCACAGGCAGTGAATCACAATGACACTTGGGCAGAGTTTACCTTTTTTTTTTTTTTTAAGCTTTGTTATTCAAAGTTTTATTGTAACAATTGGACCACGTGCAGCATGTCGGTAGAGACAAAAAGGAAGCTAAAGGGAGATTCTGGACTGGTGAGGTGGTCAGAAAATAAATTACAATGTTGCTCCGTATCTGCTGGATTGTTATAAGGGCAGCTGCGTGCTAACATGTTCGCCAAAGATGTATTTTTTTTTTTTTTTTTTTTTAACTAATCTGTTAGTTGCTACAGATTCAGACATCTTCTTAGCCACATGACGGCATGGCTCTGTGGATGGCAATGCAGTTCAGTCTGCCACTCGCTCCGTCCACCACTCGGTCCAGACTGAAACTTCTCAACAACCATCAGATGGATTGCCATGTTTGTACCGACATTCATGTCCCCCTCAGGTTAGATCCTCTAGTGCCACCAGCAGTACTTTGGTTAACACTCAAACGCCTGCAAAGCAAAGGACATTCCCATGAGCCTGAGCTGTACTTTGTTAATGGTAATTGGAAAATGTGAGCAATGCTAACAGGCTAAACTACAGTGGTGGATATGATAGATTTATACATCATATTCCATTAAAATGTGAAGCTGGTTAACCTTATCTGTGTTGTACAGAAGGTCCATGATGTGCACACTGGACCATAAAACCACTGTAATAACTTTACTTTGACTAATATATTTATATATGTTAGGGTATATTAAGTACACTAAGTACTACTGAATAATAGAGAGACTGTAGTGAGATCCTTGTATAACACATTTTCTCTGATTTTTAAAAACACACAATCATTTTTTTACGTTTCTTCAGAAATGACAGTCGACCATAGCACATAATTTTATGCACTCATTTATTGGGCCTTATCACATTACATTCATTCCATAGAAAATACATTCATTTGTGACACCTATGCTCAGAAAGTGCCGGCTTGTCAATGAAAGCGAGAGCCAATAAAGTTTAAAGCATGTGTTTTAAAAATAGAAACAACTTCTCCGCAATTGCTTGTTGCAATACAAATGTTATCGATGTGTCGGCAATCACTATAAAAATATATTTATATCATTCTGAAAATGGAAGTCAGTTAATGTTGCCTGGCTCTCAGTCACCAGCATTTTATTCATTTATTTGTTTATTTATTTAGCATATGGCATAGCACATTGAGTACCGTTATAAGACGTGCTGCTTGTAGAATTTGAGCAGAATTTTTCACACATTTGTGGAGATTTTTTTTAAAATTATGAGGAGTAAAATAATCACCAGCTTTAACCGTTTCATAGCGCCTCTTACAACAAAGCAATAAAACAAAAACAGTTTTTATTGATGAATACAGTAACTGTCGTAAAATAAATCTATTCTGATCACTACTGCTAACGGTTACCTCCGATCTAAAACTAAAGTGTAACGCCTAATTTCTCCGTGATCTTTGGGGCGAGTGTTGCACAGCAAAGTGCTTTTTGGATTTCTGCATCGAGTCTAGTCTTCAATATGTTTAAGAAAACATATTCACAACTAACATTAGCTTGACATGTGCACTGCACGGCAGAGATAAATAAATGCTGTTGAGATAAATCCTCTTCTCGCCTTGAGTCAGTGCCTTCAAGAGGGATCATTCATCATCTTGAATACGAGGAGCTGATCCTTTACATCATTGAAAACGAGATTCTTCTTACTTCCAGTAAGTTGAATAACTTACAAAAACTAGGAAACACACCGTATCATTATCAGGTAGTTAAAGCCTGCATATTGCATTTTCCCCTCTGACCAAGGGCTCAACGTTTCAAAGTTCTCATGTATAAAATAGTATTATTCTGGAACTGTGATAGCAGCAGAAGATTCATACATTTTACCGTTTTCTTTTCTCATACTTCTCTTTTGCACAAAATAAGCCCATGTATATTTTGGGTCACACTGGCAACAGATCACCCAGCACAGTCCGGTGAGCCTCTCTGTGGTCACAGCCATTGTACCTTCTTCATGTTAAGGCATGGGCTCATGCCCACACAGCACATGTGCATAGAGCAGGAGAAAGGAGTGCTTTTCATTTAGCCAAAGAGAAAAACAACCTCTGCAGTTAAAACTGCCTCTTTTATTAATGCATGAAGCTGCTGAGGTTCAACAGAAAAAGAAAGGAACATGAATAGAAAATCAAAATAAGAGGACAAAGAAGACTGCTTCAACCTATGTTCACAGAAAAATAATTGAGAAAACTTTTCCAGTAACATAGTCCTACAAAGTATGGTGCGGAGTCTGTTGACAACAGTCCAATTAAAGGAGGGGAAGAAAAGAAAATGAGGGGATCACGTATATCATCTTGGCATATATTCCTCTGGAACTCCAGACATGTTCCTTTTCCTCAAGGAAGAGTCTACTGTTCTGATCAGTTCATTGATGTTCGCTCGCATTTCTGGAGTATAGGGGTCATACTCGAGCTTTCGTAGCCCCGACCGCTTAAAGTTCCCATCCTTCTGGCCCTCGACGCAGAGAAGGCGGTCCTCGGAAACCTTCAGACCCAGAAACTGCACCATTCCCTTCAGCTGGGAGAACAGGCCCCTCTTCACATTCTCAAAGTGGACCACGTGGACGATCTTCCCAAAATTCAGCCAGTCCAACGTGTGGGACGCCCACCAAGGGGCATAGTTCTTCACAAACTCAGGCCACTCTGCAGGACAAACAAGAATGAAAAAGATATAAAAAACGAATTAATTAAGTCGTCAAATTGGGGACTGAATGGAGTTGAAGTGAGAGTCATGATGGCCAAACACTGACGCAATTTAGCTTGAGGAGTGTGACGCAATTTACGGCGGTGTACATGAAGTCATTTCTGAAAGAATTGGAGAGTAAAGTGGACATTCTTGGTTGTCAGTCAAACTCGCAGCGGTACTGTAGAAAAAGCCTTTGCTTGCAACTTTTACTCATTGATAATCTACCGGCCCATAAAAGCGTCTGCTGGCAGGAGCCGTGCTGCATTAGCAGCAACACATCTTCACTGTTGTCATTAAAGTTTAAAGCCTGCTGAGTTTGCAGTGCTGTCTCAGAAACCAATGAGAGAAGCACAGTGGACAGAATATTAGATGCTGCATCCGAAAACACAACCAGCGGTAGAGAGACGCTGAGGAACTGCCGGGTCTGTTCTCCTTGTTGTCAAGCTTTCAAAAGCAGCCAGAGCTTAAAATAAGAAGGAGACAAAATAAGTGCAGTTCTACCGTGAACATCCTGTTCGGCTAATGTTTGACTGAATATCAGATTTAGTTAAGATACTTAAGTTCTTATTAGAAGGGGGTTGACTTTAAAAAAAAACCACATAAAGGGGTTTATGTAAGAGCCTTTAAATAAAGCCACCTGATAACACTGAAACACAACAGAGCACTTTGTAAAAGGACATGCCCTCCAAAATGCGTTACACTTGCCCCGGAGTTGACTTTACGGGGCCACACTGGAGGGCGTCAGCGTCAGTAGCATCATCTGAGCCCCTGAACACAATGTCACGCTGACTCTCAAACTGGATCCTCTCGCTGCATTGGAAGTGGCAGCTGTCAGAAAGCTCTTCTCTGAACTGATGTCGCTGCATCATCTCCCCACCGACAGGAGGAGTGAGCATGCATTGGAAACGGCAGGCCGAATGTGCTGATGTTTCCACAAAGAGAGACAACCGCTGGGTCGGCAACTCTCCGGCCTCTGGAGAATTGATTTCAGCCTTGAAGGAAGTCAGCGAGGCGGTATGCCGACCAGACAAAACCAGTTGCTGTGGTTACCGAGACACACTAAGTGAATGAGCTAAAGCTGAATCTGCATGAAATATAAATACATCTCAGTAAAGGGCATGCCGTCATATAGACAAAGGGTTACTGCAGCCAGGGGTTTCATTTCCTTAAATGATGCCATGAACAAACCTTTTTAAACTCAACTCGACTAACGACACATCACTGAACGTTTCACATTGCAGTGAGACTACATGTCCAAATGGTCTGAAAGTGACAACTTAAGTCTAACAGTTTTACCCGGTGACACAACTCATGATCTGGCCCACAGGGACTAAGGTTGTTGTTGTTGTTGGCTAATTGTTTCGTTTCTCATTTTGATATCGTGTTGGGAATGGTTTTAAATCGTGTTGTGCTCTTTGTGCTCAACCACATCAGTTTATAAGGTCAAAACCAAAACAGTGTTTATTGCTCGTTTCCTCAAATTCCTAACCCTTCTACGTCATCGTAGACTATTTCTCAATTCTTTTATTATTACCACATACTAACAGTGACCACATTGGTTTTCATTTATTTTAATTCAGTAGGCCTGGAGGGCTTTTCTGATTGTATAAGATTAAAACTGCTGAGGAACAACAGTGTAAAGACTCATTTGTCCTGCAGCTGGATCGATTTTGGCTTTATGTTCACAGATTCCTACATTTCGCCTC